TGTGCACATACATGTAGGCACATTATTATTACAGAGTGTAATCTATTATTACAGAGTGTAATGTAATCTATTATGTTTTCATAAGTGTATGTGGAAGAAATAAAGTCTGCTGTTTAAGAACATGGGTTCCAGATACAGATCCTCTGCTGTAAATTACTGTTCTGCCACTTACTCATATCAGACCTTTGGTCAAATGCCTTGTATGTCAAAAGCCTCCTTAGCTTTGCGCAGTGGCAGTATCGTAGCCAATGAGGTTTATCTGAGGCGCGATTATTGCTAATTGAAAACTTTTCCCAAAAGCCTCCTTTTTCCCATCTGAAAGATCGGAAATAATAATAAATAAATAATAAATAAATAAATAATAAAAGCACCCCCTTAGTAGGCTTTATGAGGATGAAATGAGAGGATTAAACGAGCATATTTGTAGCAAAGTGCCCCTCACATAAGAATAATTCAGTATTGTGAGCAGTTTTATGAGAAATAAGAAAATGAAATACCTATTTTTTCCCAAAAGTTTTAAAATAATGAATTGAAAGATAAATGTTGCCTTTGTTTTCTTCCCTGTTTGAAATAACTAATGAAGACAAGACACATTTTCCAGGAATGTGTCTGAAGTGGTGATTCATCCCCCTTCTTGGTTCCTGACATCTGAATCCTTCTGCTGTGTCCAAGGAATCCCCACCTTATGTGCCTTGGTGAAACAGTGAATTCATTCTCACCATCGGAAGGAAACCTTCCAACTACGGTTTCTCAGTATTCCTTAGGTAAATTCAGGTGAAAGTGTGGGCTCCCCCAATTAGACACACTCCTCACAACTGCCACCCTTTCACACACACACACACACACACACACACACACTCACATAGGGACACATGCACACATGAGCACACACAGGCACACGCATGCACACACATGCCCATGCACACACACAGGGTCCATAAGGAAACGCCCAGCAGTGATGACGGTGCAGGGAACCTCGCTCCAGAATGACCATGGCTGCCTTCTCTTCTCCTTCTCCTTCCCAGGACACACTGTCTTGCTGAGGAAGAATCAGTCCTCTTAGTTGTAGGCCATTGCCTTCTGGTCTACCCCTCTCTACCTCCTCAACATGAAACTGCCTGGTGTTGATCACTTCAGAAATGGCAGTTATTGGAAAGCAGGGAAGATGGGCCAGTTGCCTCAGGAGGAAAACCCAGCCATCTTGGCTTCTTCCTTTCTATTTTTCTCAGGAGGATGCAAGCTGGAGTTCGCATCGCCTCCACATGGTATGTGACAGGGCGACACCTAAGTTTTAGGCGGAAATGCTTCAAGTTTTAATGCACACAAACATTTAGAGAAAACCGTATGAAAATCATAAAAGCAAGCAAACACTTAGGTGAAGAAAGGTTGGAGGAAACGAAGAATGTGGAGAAGAAATGCAGAAAACTGAAGTGCTAATAATGTTTGACTAATTTTCCAGGTTCCTACGTAAGAATGGTCACGAAAGCATTTTCACCATGGAAGTTTGGGGCAAATACTCATGGTTGGCCGTATGGAATGTTAAATTTGAGAAACAATAGCAGTACTAATAAGAGCTAATCATTACCAAACTTTACTAGATTCTAGAACCTGTGTTAGCAGTTAATAGAAAACTGAAATACTTTCACCTATTTAATATGCATTGACTTTGGAGGTAGGAATTGTTATCACATCTATTTTCAGATGAGGATTTTGAGACAGAAAGAGATTCAGAAATTTGCACCGGTTCAGGAACCTCTGAAGTGACAGAGATAAACGGTTCATAGGTTCAGACACGAAAAGGTGCTTCAATGACACGTGGAGTTGCTCAGAATATAAAGTGAACTGAAACCAGCTGAAGAGAAAATGATATTCATATTGCACCTTTAGCTGCTAGATTCATTTCCACTCCACTAAAATATTTATGTCCCTTTTTCAGGAAAGAAGACATCAGAACTTCACACACAACAATGGAAAGAGTGACTGGTCTTGGTAAAACGTTCGTGGGCATTTTTATCTCATCTTTAACCCCTTTTCTCCAAGTTTCTTCAAGGAAGATCTTTCTGTTGGCACGTTTGCATTTTCAGTTAATAAAACGTATCCTCTTTCAGAAATACAGTCCCCAGTTGCTAACGGAGCAGGCCTGGTGTTTGTGAGAACAGAAGGGATTTCGTTTGATGCGTTCTCTGAGCGGTTTCACACACTTGAACACCTGGAAATCAAAACCTCTTAATTCCCTGAACACTTTTCCTAGTAATTTAGAAAAGTCGTTGGTTGACCACTTAGCCCTGATCTCTTCCTTTTCTTTCTTTCTTTCTTTCTTTCTTTCTTTCTTTCTTTCTTTCTTTCTTTCTCTCTTTCTTTTTTTCATTTGCTTTTCTGGTTTCCTTTTTCTATGAGCACTTTTCTGTGATTATTGCCTCCATGGAAAGCAGACATTTGTATCAATTAACCTGAGGAGAATGTAGAAAATACGAAATGCCATGAAGCCTATATTCAAGGACTTCCAGGGGAATCTAGAAGATCAATTGCCAGGACAAGGTTCCTACCTGCTGGTCATGCCATGAGGCTCAGGAGAAGGCTGACATTTTTGAGGAAACTCTAACTAGTGTGATAACCTCTAACCAGTGTGATGGATCAAGATATCTGCAGAAGGAACTAGGCTCATAGTAACTCCTCCTGGTAAGTAACTTTGTCCTGTTTTGATCCTGTGAATGAAAAACTGATAGAGGTTTTTTAGGAAAGACAATGTAGGATCACCTCAGCACATGGACAGCAGTTTTGGAGCTACGGGTCACTATAGATAGAAACAAAACTACTTTTGTTTTATTTCCAAAGGAATGGGTTTCTTTCCTTCCCTGCTTGCAAGCAGAATGAAATTCTACCTTTACAAAATATACACATAAAAGTACAGATGCAGGCTTGAAATTAAAATATTTGTAAGCCTGTGTCTGTAAACTATTTATGCAAATTATTGGTTCAAGGTAGGTTTTTTTTTTGTGGGTCTTTAAGTGAGAAACACTTTGATTAAGTACCTTTAGTATTAACAGTGCTCCTCTATTAACCTGCAAAACCCACATGATTGCTTTTGATCTCCTCTTCAACAGCAGTGCAAAAATTTAGCTCTTGCAGTAAATGCAGTAAATGACTATAGAACTTCAATAAATCAACGTAGTCTTATTACTTTAGCTTCTTAGAGGGTAGGCTGAGATTAGTCAAAATTTGTGCAATTGTAATCATGTGATACTGTGCCAAGATGGCCCAGTGTAATGGAATTTGTGAGTTCGGTAAACTATTTCAGCTCTACAGTCCAAGAAAAGAATCTATCTTTATGGTTCAATATTCTTGTTTGTTCATGTATTGTCTCAGCAAACATTTACTGAAGACAGTGTCTAGGCTGGACGCTAGAGATAAAAGGGGCACAAGACGCAGTCCCAACGCTCCAAAAGCTTGCAGTCTAGTGGACAAATATTCTCGATTGTGACTTCTTGGGCCCCTGTTTTTCAGCATGTGGCCACCAGAGACACAGAATGTCTTAGGTTCATGAGCCCTTTTGCTTTCTTACTTTCTGTAATACTTATTGCTTATAAAATCCATACATTTTATTTAGTGGAACATTTGATAAGGGGGCCCCAAACCATCTGAGTAAAGAGAATAATAATATTAGCTACTATTTACTGAGAGCCATTATCATGCTGACTAGTTTCAGTGCCTTATCTCAGTCCTCAACAGCCCTGCCCAGGAGACCCTCTTATTTTAATATCACTGTTGGGGAAACTGAGGCTTAGAGAAGTTCAGGTATTTGCCTAAATTCACATGGCTAGGTACTATGGCAAAATTTGGGACCCAATAAAGACTTGTTTGTTCCATAGAGCATGGTCTAGGCCATTCTATGGTATTAGGAGCATTAAGCTATATTTTAAATCTGAATATTTAATTTTCTATAGCCTAACTTCCAAATCGACTCTTCAGTTGAATGCTTAACTCATAAGCTCATAATTTGTATTATTACTCATAAGATGGGAAAGACAGAACCAAACTGTCCAGGCAGAGAGGGGTCAGTTCATCCATTCTTGACTAAGTTCATATACAATGTGATTTTGCTTGAGAATCATCCTTGTTTAATGCTATCAGGGCCCATTTTTATATACTTATATAAATATTGAAAAAATACAGGCACAATTTGTAAAGAGGTACAAAGGGAGATTTCTTTTTCTTTTTAAGTTAATTTCTTTATGGGGGGTGGGGCAGAGTGAGAGAGAGGGAGAGAGAGAATCTCAGAAGCAGGTTCTGAGCTGTCAGCACAGAGCTTGAAGTGGGGCTCCGTTCCTGAACTCTGAGATCATGACCTTCACTGGTATCAAGAGTCTGATACTTACCCACTGAGCCACCCAGGTGCCCCCAAAGGGAGATTTCTGTAAAAGCTTTTCAGACAGTGGGCTGGGTATGGCTGGGCCCACAAAGTGTTCGGTCCTGGCACACTGCTCAGGGTCACAGGTAAATATTCTTTCATTCTTCTGTATAATGTAGGGAGGGGAGGCAGGGGATGCAGGGGCGGCAGGCTAGGTGCTGGTGCCGGCTCAGAGTTCTAGGATTCAGTCCCAGTTTGGTCACAAATGGCAGCGGGATCCTTGGAGAGGTAAGTGACTGTGTCCCAGTCCTTGGGGGTAGTTGCCGCCTGAGCTTGCGTGGGCAACATTGACAAGGAGCTAACTTGCTAGAGCAACTGGGGGTCCCTGAGGGGTGGGGATGTTAGTTAGGTCCCTCTGGAATTTCTGCGTTGAAAGGTTTGTAAAGAAATTTGTGTGACGTATTCATTTGATCTAAAAGCAACCAATGGAAAAGAATGAACAAAAAATTGCTAAACTTGTCATTTTGTCAGAAGGTGATTCATATCAGGTCTGGACACATTTAACTGTGCACACATATCCATAATGTCATGAGCTGGTTTCTCTGTTTGTTTTTTTCTAAATTCACACTAGTAAACGTGTTCTTTCTTCATTAGTCTTAGACATGAAATTTTGCCCGGATGAGGGAAAACGCCTCCCAGGGATGTTTCTATACTGCTAGATGTGGTCGCCTACAAGCTTTTAAAAATTTTCACAATGCTGGTAAAACAATGAAATCATGAAAGTAATGATATATTTTGGTTTCCTTAGTGGTTGTGATCAGAGACACAAATGAATTCATAAATTGAAAAGCAACCTTCTTGTCCTCTTTTTTGTCCATCTGACTGCAATATAAATTCTAACGGTCTGATTAAATAATGGTGACAGAGATATAATAATTCATGAGGTCCTTAAAGTTTTGTGGGAGAGTGTGATCCAGAGGAAAATATGGACTTTGATTCTGGATCTATTAGTTTCTGAATAATCATCCTTTAGCAAATAAATTTTAATTAGCTGGCCGTTGCTTTCTTAAAATGATAAAAAATAGTACATGGCCATTGTGGAGAAAAATGGAAAAGAGAAGAAATAAAAATTGGATAGTGACATTTATTACTGTTAACATTTGCTATATTTCCATCCATTCATTCTGTCAATGTAAAAAAAACATCTCGAGTGGTTTGTTTTGAAGACTAAATGAAATTATAGCTACCACATCAGTTGGGACAGGGTCAGTGATTAAAAAAAAAAAGTCAATACTGGTGTGCCTGTGTGGCTCAGTCAGTTGAGCAGCAGACTTTGGTTCAGGTCATGAGCTCACGGTTTGTGAATTCAAGCCCCGCGTCGGGCTCTGTGCTGACGGCTCAGAGCCCGGAGCCTGCTTTAGATTTTGTGTCTCCCCCTCTCTGCCCCTCTCCTGCTTGCACTCTGTCTCTCAAAAATAAATAAATTTAAAAAAAATTTTTAAAAGTCAATTGTATAGAATTCAAATAATCACCAGTGAAGGACTTTGTGAATCAGGAGTACAGGAAATGTATCAGTTATGATCTAGTCTACAGGTCATTTTAGAACAATTGGTCAGTATTGGCAGAATACCTTTAATTTCTAAGACTCATTGTTGCATGATTCTAAAAATGACTAGAATGTAATAAGCATCATCTCAAATATTGTTAGCCTCAACATAAGGCAATCTCTCACTTTTCAGTGGAAAATGAGATATAAAAAGGACAGGTTTTACAACTTGAATATGTAAAATTATAATAATATCCATATAGAGTTAAATATTCACTTATAATATTTAATGTCTTATTTGGATTATACTACAGATTAAAAGTGATATCATTATAAATACCACTTGAGAATACTGTTTATTTCTGCTCTCACATTTTTTTGAACATTTTAATCAAACTATTCACACGCATCTAAAATGTATACTTTAGAGCAAATTTCTGAGTCATTGCAAGGTCTGAGTGTCTGTTTTGGGATTCCCAAATAATGATGTCCCTGGATATTTTATTGGAAGAGACAATTTACCCACTTACAAAATAAAAGCATTCTTTTCATTTATACTGTCTTTCTATGTATGTGAGACAGAAGCATGAAGTATAGTCTTTAGTCTCCAGTAGTATTTACTAAATCCACATTAAACTGCTTATTGTCTTTTACCAGTGCGACTACCAAAACTAGTCTCATCAAGTTTATTTCAGGTTTGTATCTTGTACAAGTAGTATTGTTGGATCAAAGTTGAATGGATTAGAAGAGCCTCTTTTAATAAGTGGCCCAGGACTGAAACATAAGACAACCCTTGTTGCGTGAGGGATGATGTTGGGAACGCAAGCTTCACCTTTTTCTCTGGCGTTTCAGGGTGGTTGAATTCCACACGTTTTGCATTTGTATCACAGACAGGGATTTGGAAACTTCTTCTTTCATTTTTCATGTGATCTCTGAGTTAGACCTTCCTAAGCTCTGAAGCCCTGAGGCTGAATGCACAAACGATTTCTCATTTATTTATACTGTCTCTTTCCAACATCTATTTGAGAAGGCCTCAAATAAAAAACACAAGTACAGTTAGGCCATGAAATAAAAATAGAAGACCAAGAAATGAAGGAAAGCAGAAGAAAAAGGCCTGGGATGATCTAGCAAGAAATGGGAAAACTTTATGTTCAAAGGTGGGAGAAATTGTGGTGGACACACACTTTGTATTATCTGATAAAATGAAGTACACCAAAGCTTCATATGCCATTGAAATCATAAAATTAGAAAAAACTTTCGATGCATGCGTTCTTTAGGGGGACTACGAAGTGAAATAGCAGGCATTGCCTTCCACATCCATTTTATAAGATGGAAGGAGTGGTTTTTCAACAAAGCCTTTCATGCTACCGTGGCATCATTACTATGGGCACCGTGACATTTAATGTCATTCACAGATGGTGACCTTCAGCAGACAAGGTCAGGCAGGTGATAGTCTAGGGATCTAACATGACAATAGGAGGCTTGGAGGAGCGGGTTACCGACCATTGATGTAGTCATTGTCTGGAAGGCCCACTGTAGGAGATTCAAGCCAAATTTGGGGCATGATTAGAAGGAAGGCGGTTTGAGGTAGAAATTTCTGGTGAAAGCTTGGAATTTGCTTTGGACCACACAGGTGAAGCAGTTCCATGAACTGACCCCATGTTACTAGGCTTTAGCCAATGTTCCCTTTGACTTTCTTAACACTGGAAATGCAGTGGATAAGACAAGTGATTGCCTATTAACTGGTGTGTCAAAGGCACATTCCAGTGATGATGGCTGAGTGAATCGAGACATAGTAGAGCAAAGTGGGGTGCAAACGAAGGAATGAGTCTCCATGCTTGATGTACATAGATCCAATCATTACCTCGAGTACTGTATTCCCATTAGTAAGAAAGATGTGGTCCCATACGATTAAAATGTCATGTTGGAGCACACAATTCATCGAAAGAAATTGCTAATAATCATGATAATGATAATAATATACTTTCTCATTTCCATAGCATGTTTGGTGGTGGAAATCTTAGGAGAGATTTTAATATCAATCCTCACAGCAAAGGTCAGCATAGACAACATTGTGCAAATATTGCAATAGGATCAGACCTTGTGTCCATGTGGACTTATATAAAGTGTTCACGTACATCGTGTGTAACTGTCACAAAAGGGTTTGGTCCAAGAATGAAGTTGATCACGACAGATGTGCTTTGTGAGTTGACACATTTCCTTTCCTGACGGTGAAAGGGTGTAGTCAGAGAGCCCGGGATTTGCCCCAGGCTGACCTGGAGCCCTTTCTCTACCACGTACTGTTTATGTGAATTTGGCGATTATTCTCTGCCCTCAGTTTCCTCATCCATCAGGTGGGATAACACGACGCATTCAGCAGGAGTCATATGAGAATTAAATGAGACTGGGGATAATTTATATGGCACATCATGCAAAACATAATAGGTGCTGGTAGAAGTTGCCCCGTTTCACACCTAATGGGAGAATTGTATCCTCTGTGGAGGGTGGTCTGTAGCCGATCCTACTGACAGAGCAGAAATTCTCCAGAGGAGTCAGCTGTACTTGTAACTGCTCCAATGGGAAGTTCCCTTGCTGTCCACGGATAGACAAATAACTTGAATTTAGAGGTATTTGTACCCGTTTACTGGACTTGTCCCTCACTGGGCCACAAAAATGAAATTAAGATTGTATTTTTGTAGTTCTTCTATGTACTTTAAAACTTATTTATCTTGGGGCGCCTGGGTGGCGCAGTCGGTTAAGCGTCCGACTTCAGCCAGGTCACGATCTCACGGTCCGTGAGTTCGAGCCCCGCGTCAGGCTCTGGGCTGATGGCTCGGAGCCTGGAGCCTGTTTCCGATTCTGTGTCTCCCTCTCTCTCTGCCCCTCCCCCGTTCATGCTCTGTCTCTGTCTGTCCCATAAATAAATAAAAACGTTGAGAAAAAAAAAATAAAAAAAAAAAACTTATTTATCTTAATTTATATTACCTCTAACTTCAACAGGTTTGGGCTTCATGCTTATAATAGTAGAAAAACAAAGGTTGAAAATATAGTTACAATGTACCTAGAAACATAGTTATAGATAGACGTAGGGCTTTTAAATACATTTAGAAATGTCATAAATTTGAAATTCATATTTACATATGAAATAGCTTTAAATAATTATTTAATAAAAGAATATAGTTGAATAAAATGAGAAATTTGGAGTCAATATGAATATGCAGGTTTGAAATACCACTCTTAATTGAAAATGTGGTTGTATTTGGTTAATTTATATAGAATTCATACTGCTTCATATCAATAAAATAGATACAACTCAGGCAATTTACACCCAAAATTTTTTTTAACTTTGTGCACAAACGCACTGGACAAACTTATTTATTTTGTAAACTGGTTTCTATTTTATGCATCAATAAAATGATTGTGGCCATAAAAAAAACACTGTTAGTATGCTTAAAAAGAATATTGAAAGAAAAAACATGTAATATAATTACCCAACATATAGGCACTAGTCTTATATAATCAAGTATACTATTTAATGCTCAGTTGAGACAATTACAGAAGTTCAAGATTCCCTCTATCCGGAAAAGAATGAAACTTCAGGATCTAGCTGAGGAAAAGGGACAGGAGATAAGCATCGTATTTTTCCATCCAGAAATTTTCCATGTTCATCTTTGATTTTCAAGTTCTTTACAATGATGAATCAGAAGTAATCCTATAAAAAACCAAGTTCCTAAGATGAAAACTAGATTCTTTAATGTATTGACTAGAGGCAAAAATGATGTAAATATCATGTACTTTGAAAAATTAGTCTTCTCTTATATAACAAACTTTTAAAATTAAAAACAACATATATGGTTGGAGAAATGTAGACTTTCCTACTATTATAATCAATAAAATATATATATTTGCAGCACAAGTAAGCTGTACAAGTTTAAAACAACCACATTATGATCTAATTCTATGTATAGCATGAATAAAAAACTCATTGTTTGCTTACTGATTTTGTATAAAAATCAAGAGGTTTGTAGCACTCGCAGAAATTTTCAAGAATATTTTTCCTTTTCTTCTCAAGGAAGAAATAAAATTTTTCTTTTCTTCGGAAATTGTCCACAAAATTATTATTCTAACTCCAAACTAGCCCAAAGAGAAAATGTGTTAACGTTTGTGTTTCAGTTGGAAATCAAATTGGAAGGGTTCTAGTCTTTATAATTTCAATCACTAGTTAACAATCAATGTATAAGCAAGGAACATTCCAGTCCTCAAGTGACATGCCCTTGACAACTATGATGTTTCATTACATATTTTCACATTATGTGTGCAAGATACTCTGTTAACATTATGCCAGTTACATACAACTTTATTCAGCTGATAAAATCAAAGAAAATTATGGGTACAACCACAAGTTCAGCAGGCTTGTAGGGCAGATCCAAATTTGGGGGAGATGCTAAGCATCAAAGTACAGTGTCTTCTTAGTCACGTGTCAACATCAAATGAATTTCCAATATAAAATGTGCTTTGAGTGAACATTTTCTAAAGCAAAACAAAATTCTGACTAGTGCATTACTTGCACTATAAGGTTCATATAAGAGCATTTCTGAAAATAATCAATAAATTTTAAGTAGCAGTTTTGGAAATATTGCCACATTGCTTCCAAATTCAAGGCACTGTAGGGGTGCCTGGGTGGCTCAGTGGGTTAAGCACCTGACTTTGGCTCAGGTCATGATCTCACAGTTTGTGGGTTTGAGCCCTGTGATTTGTCTGTGCTGACAGCTCACAGCTTGGAGCCTGTTTCAGATTCTGTGTCTCCCTCTCTCTCTGCTCCTCCCCTGCTCATGCTCTGTCTCTCTCTGTCTCAAAAATAATCATTAAAAAAAATTTAAATTCAAGGCATTGTAAATATTTTGGAGGTGCCGCTTTAAACGTTGTCCTACTCAAAATCCTGGCATAGTTTAGACGTGAAAGTGAGATGTTCTATAAAATCAGAAATCAAGCAAAAGAACTCCAGCATCAGAAGTGGGCATGGGATTCTTATTTGAAGCTAAATGGTCAACTTGATACATTGTCAAGTATGGGTGGAAATAGATTCCTTTTCCAACAAGTGACCATGTATTGTCTCAAAAAATTCCACATTTTAACCCATGTGGTGACCTTAATAGCTGTGACTTTAGGCAATTTACATAACCTCTTGAACCCCTTTTCCCATGGAAAGTAACAAAAGAAGCAACTCAGAACCCACTGTGGTTTAAAGGTCATGGTAAGCACTAACTCTATGGCAACTTTTCCTTCCTTTTAACTATGTGCTAGGTGGTTCCAACCACACAATGTTTCCATTTCTCTAATGACGTTTTCATTGCTATTCTATTTTCTCCCACAGATAAAAATCCTGATGAAGACACTTCCCCCAAGCCCACAATTTTTCTTCCTTCAATTGCTGAAGTAAACCTCCATAAGGCTGGAACATATCTTTCTCTTCTTGAGGAATTTTTCCCTGATGTTATCGAGATAGATTGGAAAGAACAGGATGGCAAAACAATTCTGACGTCCCAACAGGGAAACACCATGAAGACTAAGGACACATACATGAAATACACCTGGCTGACCGTGGGTGAAGAGTCAATGGGCAAAGAACACAAATGTATCGTTAAACACGAGAAGAATAAAAGAAGGTTTGAACAAGAGATTCTGTTTCCTTCAATAAACAAAGGTATGGGCATGTGCACATGAATATAACCTTCCTGAATTCTTTGTTTCAAAGGGAATACCACACTTTATCTGTCAAGAATTAATGGAAAACAGGGAAAGAGAATTCTTTTCTAAAAGTTTTACTTTTTTTCTTTTTTTTAAGAAAACCAAACTTAATGTTTATTTATTTTTGAGAGAGAGAGAGAGAGCCCGAGCCTGAGGGGCGGGGAGGGGCAGAGAGCGAGGGAGACACAGAAATCTGAAGAGGCTCCAGGCTCTGAGCTGTCAGCACAGAGCCCAACGCTTGAACTCATGAACCGTGAGATCATGACCTGAGCCGAAGTCGGACATTCAACCGATGGAGCCACCCTGGTGCCCCTAAATGTTTTACTTTTAATGGTACATTAAAGTCCAAATATTTCCCCACAGAATTAAATATGATGGGCTTTGGAAGATATAAAGAAAAAGAAAAAGAAAAACTCACTTAGCCTTTGCTGCTTCAATTTCATCATCCAAAATATGAAGGTCACAGTGACGTTTTTTAGCACCACTGTATGGATTAAATGAGAGAATACATATGAAAACACCTAGCAACCTTGCATACAATAAGTGCTCAAAAAGAGAGTGCGTTTTTGATGATCTCATTGATATGGAAATAAGAAAAATTTCACATCTTTAGGGAATGGTCTACTCAACAGTCAAACTCCCTCTCACCTCAATCTGGTCTACTCAAAGTATCACCTTTAAACAGTTACAGGTGACAAAATGCTGCTCCTTTGATGGTGCTGGATTGCAGCTCAAGTAAAAATGGTGATTTGGCTGCCGAGTTTTTAGTATGGTCTTGGGTGTTCCAGATTTGAATTTTATGTAAGACTGTAAGGTGAAATTTGGTAACTGGAGAGGGGTGAGGTTACATGTACAAACATTCTCCCATTCTCCACAATGGATGTATTTCTACCCCTGGGAAATGCTGCCCAGCAAACACTTCCTGCCGTCCGAGTGTGCGCCACGCCTGGGAGGGAGGCGGGCCAGACCACTGTCCCCAGGAGGATCACTACAGTAGGGCGAATACACTTTGCCTAATCACCCAGGGTCCCTGGTGATTCAGACATGGTGTCCTGAAGGAGCCCCACTGGTGCCGAGGCTGGTCATATGTGACAATGGGGGCAGGGGGCTGCCCTGGCCTGGCTGTGGGCCAGGAACTCTCTAGACTCAGAAGTCAAGTCCTGAACATGAACATAAAAGACCAGGGCCCCAGAGGGCCCATAAGAAGGAACCAGTTTGTACTTGCTCTGTGGTTAACAAGCACTTTTTAAGCAGCAGGGAGCAAACACATAGCAAGACATGTGAAGAGCTTTGCTATATTTCTGAGGTAAGACTTTGTCCTTTGTCCTCTGGGAATGTTAAACAAATAAACAAACAACAAAACCCGTAGTCCCAAAATGGCAACACTTAACTTAAAAGCTTGAGTCACTCCACCAAGACTTAATACCTAATCCCAGTGCAATTGCAACCCCCAGAAAAGTAACCTTTAACCTGTCACCTAGGGAGTTTCCTAGCCAGCACCAGGTACTTTCCTAATTGACCCCTTCCTTCCCCATGAAGGTGACCTTGCCTAAATCAGTGGACTCCTTGCTAATAATCTTCTTTTTTCCGCCCCCTGTCTATTGTTAAAATATTCCTTCCCTGTCCTCCTTTGGAGCTCCCGTCTAAGTGCTAGATGAGATGCTGATTCACACATTGATTGACGAATACAGCTACTGGATCTTTAACATTTACTTGGTTGACTTTTTGTTCTTTAACAGGTGTGGTGGAGGCAAGAGGATCCCAAGTAGACCCACAGGGGCATTCGGAGACAAGGCGAAACACAGGGGTGGTCACTGTGAGCCCTTTGAGTTCACTGTCTTCCTCACCAGTTTCAAGGGCTGCAGGTGAGTTCCTCTTGGTTCGAAGCTCCCCTCTCCTTGCCTTCGGGCTGCTGATCTAATGGGCCTTTCTTTCCAGGACAGGTCAGCTTGGGCTGCAAGGGTTATGCCCAGAGCCCGGCTGAGCCGGCATGTTTATCTGGAACCCTGTGGAACTGGCCTATTTGGCCAGAGCCCAGCTGGGCTGGCAGAAAGGTGTGCCTGGAGCCAAGCCCCCAACCTTTCAGACCACACTTCTTCCCCTGCTAGAAAAGTCAGCAAGGTTCCAAGAGAATTGTTGATGGTGCGCACGGAGTCTTGTGTCCTGAACGCAGTAACATCCAAGTCTGAGACACTGAGAGCAGCTGTCCTGACAAACACGAACAGAACTAGAAATGCAGCTCTTGGGTCAATCCAGAGTTCCCCTGTCCCTTCACCCAACCCCACACTTTTCCTAGTCCTAGGAAAGGGCTTATAGATGGTTGGCTTTAGGAAAGCAAAGTCCTTCTTGCAGGAACCTGCATTCTTTCTCTGTCCTCAAAGTGATCCATCTGATCAGGTCCTTGAAATGTAAACACAGCCCACAAGTGCCCGGGACTGAGGGAAACTAAGGGAAAGAGGTCTTTTTAAAATACAATCTGCTAAAGGGCTCCTGTGCCTAAACCCTGGCTCAGTGTTCTTCGTAATTCCAGGGACACATACAAACCTTAACACTTTCTCCATAAATGTCTCCATGAATGTCAGTGACCCCAGGGTCTTTGCAGCGATCTGTGTGTCCACAAATACACGTCGTCAATGTGAGATATTTTTCTCTCTGGAGACATTGTCAAAATTCGTTTACAAAGAGCTCTACATTTCTTTGGTTTTTAGACAAACACTTGTGAGGACTGGGCATTCTAGACCTCTCAGAAAGGGAGAAACTATCCCATGCGCGTTTCAACTTCACATGTCGGGTCTGTGTCTGGTTGTTGTTTAAGCAAAGCAGACATCTTTTTAGAATTGTCAGCACTAAAATTAATTAGAACTTTCATGTGCCTGGGTTTACTGAAATTCAAATAAGTACATGGGATCTCAGTTACAAAACGTTTAAAAAAAACAGCTTGGGAGAATGACAGACTTTGATGTTTCATAAGTTTTTGTTTGTTTGTTTTTTAGTATTTTTATTTTCATTTCAGTTAGTTGGCACGCAGTGTGGCTCTAGTTTCAGGAGTACAATCCAGTGATTCAGCACTTCACAGGTCACCCTGTGCTCATTAGGACGAGGGCACTCCTTATTCCCATCGCCTATTTAACCCATCCCTTCCCACGCCTCATAAAGTTTTTATGGGTAATTTCAGCTCAACTTTTAGGAACAAGTAACTTGAATAGATGTAAATAAAATAAAAATTTTTAGATAAAGTTGTAAATAGTTTCCCAAAGCTTTGGGGGAACTAAAACCTTAAAGTGTTGCTGAGTGAGGTCACCTGTTAAATTACGTTAAATTCATTAAATATCTAGATCATTTCCAAGTGTGATAAAATAGTCAATTATTAGGGCATCTGGGTGGCTCAGTGGGTTTAGCGTCTGACTTTGGCTCAGGTCATGATCTCATGCCTCATTAGTTCGAGCCTGAATCAGGTTCTGTGCTGGTGGCACACAGCCTGAAGCCTGCTTCGGATTCTGTGTCTCTCTCTCTCTCTGCCTCTGTCTCCCCTGCTCATACTGTGTCTCTGTGTCTCTCTCTTAAAAATAAATAAAAACTTAAAAGAAATAAGAAATTATTTTTTATTTCTTTTGTTTGAAGTTTATTCATTTATTTGGAGAGAGAGACAGAGCACGTGAGCGGGGGAGGGGCAGGGAGACAGAGAGAGAGAGAGAGAGAGAGAGAGAGAGAGAGAGAGAGAGAATCCCAAGCAGGCTCTGCACTGCCAGCACAGAGCTCAAACCCAGGCACTATCATGACCCAAGCCAAAGTCAAGAGCTGGACGCTCAACTGACTGAGTCACCCAGATGCCCCATAAATAGGAAATTATTAATTAAGGAACATAGGTTTATCTCTTTTTGGTTTTCTTAATGCAGAGAAACTGAAGATACTTTTGGGCCTGCTTGTAAATGTACTTTGTGCTTTACTGAAAGATTGTTTTATAAGGAAGCAGATGTTTCTAGGAATTATGGAATGTATTCACAAGTTCACCAATCCAAAGGATACTGTTTGACAGTTCACAACTGCTTCCTTATTAACTTTTGTTAAAAATGAAGGTTTCTAAGAGTTAAGAATTCTGATAAATTTAATGAAGACTGCTGGAAATAATAAGGGAAACAACCCAGAATGCAAAGAACATAAGGTGTATTTTTAGTAAGGAAAAGTCTGATGCATGGAGTTGTACTTTTTGAGAAAAGAAAGAAAGAAAGAAAGAAAGAAAGAAAGAAAGAAAGAAGGAAATTTTCTCCAAAGGGAGGCTCATTTAAAGAGGGTAAATTCAGAGGGCGCCTGGGTGGGTCAGCTGGGTCAGCATCAGACTTTGGCTCAGGTCATGATCTCAGGGTCGGTGAGTTCAAGCCCTACATTGGGCTTTCTGCTGTCAGCACGGAGCCTGCTTGGGATCCTCTGTCCCCACACCTCTCTGCCCCTCCTGGGCTGTGCTCATTCTCTCTCTCAAAAATAAATAAACACAAATAAATAAATAGATAGATGGATAAATAAATAAATAAGGTAAATCAAGACAAGTTCTGAATGTAAAAAAGAAATTAGTAAAGATTTGCAAACATGGGATATTTGGAAAGGAATGTTATGTGTGGTCAGGACTGACTAATATTGGCATGAAGAATTTTCAAAGCAAAAGTAAGCTGATCCCGGGGCACCTGGGTGGCTCAGTCAATTAAAAGACTACTCTTGGTTTTGGCTCAGGTCATGGTCTTAGGGTTCTGGGTTCTAGCCTCAAATTGGGCTCCAGGCTGGCAGGGTGGAGCCTGCTTCGGATTCTCTCTCTCTCTCCTTCTCTCTGCCCCTCCCCTGCTCCTGCTCTCTCTCTCTCTCTCTCTCTCTCTCTCAAACAAATAAACAACAAAACAATACAAAACAAAAACAAAACAAAACAAAAAAACCAAACCAAAACAAAAGTAAGCTGATACAGCATTAGAATTTGGTTTTCTCTCTGTCCAAAGGGCTAAGGGTTTTGTGGTTTTTTGCTTGTTTTCTTTGGAGTTTGGTCTGCTTAGGTCTCTTTAACCTGGAACATTCCAAAGGATTTGTTAAACTAATTTGGCTTACTTGATATGTTAACGGAGAGCATTGTCAAATAAATATTCATACTAAGTTTTCTTTACAGTGTATTTATAAGATTGTGGCACTTGTAGATAAAGTCCATTCTGGTTCTCCAAAAAAAGAAAAAGATGGCCTCTCATGCCAGACTTGCTGTCCTAATGACCTTGTACCATGGCACCGGGGTGCTTCTGAATCCGAGAAATCAAGGTGAAAAAACTGGCAGTGTATTCAAGAAAGAGTTGGAGTTGAGGGAAAACCAAGACGGTCACTTGGTTCTTTCTGACTCCCTGACAAACCCCTTTTTTTTTTCTCATCTCTTTCTTTTTTTTTTTTTTAGTTTTGTTTTTTCACTCTTTCACCCACCATGAGGCATTTAAGATGACTCGAATTATAAACAGGCATCAGTGGTAAGGATTAAATAATAGTACAAAATGACTTACCCTGAGTGTCTAACCTGCTAGGTGCATAATCTTGGAAAAATTGTTTTTTGTTACAGAAGCTTCAGACCTCCTCCCTGGGGACCCCTTGAACACCTGCAGCCAGACTTCATGCCACTGCCACTTAGTGCGGGCTGTCAACACGCCCCAGTTATTGTTTGTACATTTCTGGGAGGGTTGAAGCCTTTCCCTGCCTAGAGGCTGATGCCCTCCCTGTGGCGAAGACACTTTTAAAAAGTGGGTTTCCCCCTTGGGGCACATCTTCTGTGATCTCCAGGGACCAAGTCTCCTATTTTAGTGGGCAAGTAATAGGCGCCTGAAGGAAAACCTTGCAAACTTTTTGGGATTCTCTCAGTGCACAACCTTCTGCTAATCCTTTCTGTCCTATGCTAGCCTGTCCAGAGGGTGTATGTCTACCCTGTCTTCTGCTCAAGCTTGTCACCACCAGGTTACGGAAGCCTTCTTAGATCACAGTGCAAAGGATCCTGTTGGTCACAGTTTAAAGCCTGGGGACTAGGTATTTTAGACACGTCATCAGAGGAAGACAGCCCTCGAACCCCCAGTAGAAGAGGGACCTTACCGAGTGCTCCTGCTGTAACACTAAAGGTATGGAGCCTCAGGCACACATCACACCAGTACCCTTTCCACCTGACGCCAGGTCCTGCCCAGACGCTGGACGTTTCTGAATCAGATGGAGACAAAGTGAGGTAGCTCACCAATGCACGATGATAAGAGATTTTTATTTATCGTTTTTAAAGTTTTTGTTGGAATTCCAGTTAGTTCTCTTGTAGTGCTATATTAGTTCTAGATGCGCAGTATGGTGACCAAAGCCACTGTATGGAAAAGAAAGCATTTAAGGCATTTTAAAGTCAGCTTTTGAGAATATTTTAACATTTAACGTAATTATACTAACAGTTTCCTTCTTGGGATTTACCTGACAGTTTATACCTCAAACCCATCTTTTTAAGAGTGACAAAATTAGATTGTGTGGAAGGCATACAATTGCACACCTGAACCACGTGTGTAGGGACAAGGACACATTTGAACAGAAAAAGGATAAATCAAAACAACCTCATGACTCTCTGCATCCACTGGTCAATGATCTTTGTAAAAAAATTTTTAACTTTTATTCATTTTTTGAGAGACAGAGAGACCCAGAGCGTGAGTGGGGGAGGGGCAGAGACAGAGGGAGACACAGAATCCGAAGCAGGTTCCAGGTTCTGAGCTGTCAGCACAGCGCCTGACGTGGGGCTTGAACTCACAGATGTGAGACCATGACCTGATTCAAAGTCGAATGCTTAACTGACGGAGCCACCCGGGGTGCCCCACGGTCAATATACTTTTTAAGGAATTTTGTCTTTGTATGTACGTTGAATGTTTTTTATTTTGGTTGTTTGTTTTTGTATTGTTTTGTTTTTACACTCTAGATAAATACAACCCTCATCTCATGTTTTATGTATTCAGGCAGCTATCGATGTGACTTGCCTATCATCCTATCTCTGCAGAAAGTACACCCAGATCCTGAGCTTCTGTAATAAATGGTCAGTTGGTAAAAGTAACGAGGGTATCCGGAAGAGATGATATATGAGAGTCCACGATGGTGGACTTAGGTTTGATTTGTATGGATTGTTGTACAAGGGACGTTCCACATGCTGTAGCTCATCTAACCCCCCACCTCCGACCCTGAGTGCCGGCTCTGCCCGTCACTGGTATGATTCTCAGCAAGGTACTTATTGACTCTAAATCCTATTTCCTTACGCGTAACATGGAGTCCTCCAAATCCATGTCAGTGTCACCAGGATCAGATGAGATAACCGTGAACTTTCACAGAGTGCCTGGCACAGGAATAACCATCTAAGGGTACTAGCTTTCATTAGCCTTGTTGTCATGTCCACAAACACCTCCACTCTAGAAAATCATGTGCGGGACTTGAGGTTATTGGGGTGTGCGTGATTTGGAAAAGTAAGGCTGCTTCCGTTTTTACATGGGAAATTGACCTACACCAGCCTCCTTCCAACGTGTAAGATTCTGCTGTGGATTCTCGGGTTGGACGATATCGTTTTGGTGGCCACGCTTCATGTGAGTGGTGTGTGCTCAGGACTTTACAGCAGCCACTGTTTCTGGATGTTTTTCCATTCAACAAGTATTTACAGAACACCTACTTTGCCACAGGCACTGTGCTGGAAGCTGTGAGGACAGAGGGAAAACAAGATATAGTCTTAGATATTACTCCCCAGTTGTGAGGAAGAAAGAAAAAAAATTCATGAACTTCAACATCTTCCTGCACAGAAATACAGTATATGAATTGATCTACAAAGAATTACAAGGAACCAGAGCTCCTATTTGTAATGGTTCTTTCTTATCTGTTAACAGATTCTATCTATCTGTGTATCTACCTATCTGTGTATCTGTCTCTCTATTATCTATCTATCTCTCTATCATCTATCTATCTATCTATCTATCCATCCATCAAACCATCCACAGTACAGACACGAGTCAAATAATGGATATGAACAACAGAATAATACTTGCTTTCATTTCTTTTAGAGCTCGCTGCTGTTAACTACACAAAAGCTTCTCTGAAAGATGAAAATGGTAAGTTTTGTACTTGTTTCCTGTATGTTAGGCTATAGCATTGTTTCCTTCCGATCAACTTAACTTTTGAACTTCTCTGGCTTCGGGTAGAAGCCTCACAATGGCAGGATCTTGCAAAATAGACTGAGTGGTAATTTAAGTCAGTCCATCATTTCTCAGGAGTCATCTTTACACAGTAACTGCTGGCTTGGGAAGGAGAGGCCTGTAAAGTAGGGGTGCAGTGAGGGGCTCTGACGTCTGTTAACAACGCACTTCATGCATTTCTGTGGACTTTGTTTCTACTAACTGAGGAAAATATGCTGTTGCTTTAGATTTTTTTTTTAAGTCTCTATTCTTGCTGGTACTTAGTAAATGATGCTGAGAGGTTTTTGGACAAAAGGCATCGTGTTACTGTCAGTGCATTTTGTTGAATTCTCTTAACACTCACTGTCAGTATTTCATTCCCATTTTGCCCCTGAGGACAAGGAGCTGAGATTAACTACGTCCCTTGTATCATGCCACACAGCGAGATCCGGGCTTCGCCCCAGGCTAGATGAATCAAGACTTCATGCACTTACTCAGGTTTCATTCTTCCTCTACATCCCAAACCCAAGGCTCTGAGACAGGCTGCACACCTGGGGTGGGTGGGATGGCAGGACTTCGCGTGTCAGAATCCAGACTTACACCCCAGTCTTAATTATTTATTTGCAGGAATAGGGTTAGCTTATTTACATTTTCTGAGCCAACCACAAATGACACAAATAACACCCAGCTCAGTTATTGAAAACACAAGGCCCCCTATGTGGAGTGTCTTGCTTCAGGTATCTCATTTAGCAGCCGCATAATAAGTACCTGTGAGTACATTCTAAGTATAAGTAGTAGTTCCTGGCCCTTTCTGCCCGTGTATGCACAAAGAAAATGATGAGGACCATTGGCTCTAGTCCTGCTGATTTGTCCTCCTGTCCAATATCAAGGGGCTCCTGGACTCTGGCTACTCGTCATCATCCTCCTTATCATCATCCAACTTTACATTTAGCCATAGTCATTGGGTGTCTTGGGTATTCATTGCATGTGGAGATCCAGGATGACAGAGTAGCTGAGAATGCGTCCTGAAACACCAGGTTGCTGGGATTGAAATCTGGCCTCTCGTACTTACTAGTTGCATGAAATCAGGCAAATTGCTCCTCTCCCTGTCCTCAGTATAAGAAAATGGGAATGAAAGTAATAATCTCATATGTTATTGCAAAATTAAAGAGGATTAAGGCTTTCTAGGCAAAGTTCTCAACTGACATTTAGTTTGTGGTTAATGGATATTGCCTAGTATTCTTACATAGGGACATGCTGGGGATGAAGAAATGCTAAAAGCTATCTATCACCAATGGTTCTTCCCCCCTGGGTTCATGAATTACAAGCACAACCATCGTTTAGAATACTTTGGAATATTCTAAGTGAATTTCACAGGTTTTTTACAGACTTGGTCGGCAAACTGGATTCTGAGTAGTCTTGGAGGTGGTGTTAGTGGTGATGGTGGTGTAGATGTTTACTCTCCAGTTGTACTGGTGAGAGTCACTTCAACCCAGGACATCAGAAATGTGTGAAACTAACCGATGGCTTCTTTTAGACCCCCGACAGGTGCAGCTCGTGAACACCTCTGCCTACTACACCTACCTCCTCCTTGTCATCAAGAGCATGGTCTACACCGTCATCATCGCCATCTGTCTGCTTGGGAGACAAGCACTCTGTGACAATGGGAAGAGTTCCTAACCCATGGTGGCACCAAGGGTCCACTTTTCTCCATTGGCTATTGTCACTAGAAGAGTCTGCTGGAGATATAGCGGGGCTTTCTTTCTGCGTTTGGGTTATTTCAGTTCGCATGTTTCTTTTTCTATGTGTCATCATTGCAGAACAGGTTTACAAACCGCTAGGCAGACAGGAAATGTCACTCTGCATGGAGAACAATTTCTGCCATGACTCAGGGATGGGGCCGGGGGGCATCCACGGGGGCTTCAGTACCTCTCTATCCTTCACGTCCGCCAGCTCGTCAGCAGCACAGCACCCTCACCTCTGAGTACACTTGGTGTGCAGCTTCCATAGAGCTCCTGGGGCTCTGTATCCAGATAACTTCCTGGAGGCCTTTTATTTTACATTTCTGGAAGCTGCCATCTTTGCTACCTGAGTTTTGTTATGTTTTTCATAATAGGCACAATAAAAACAATCACAAGTCTCCTTTTGCCTCTGTGGACATTCATTTGTTGAGATCTGAGTACAAGGTAAGGGAGAGCATCACAACTGAGCCTTCACATTCAGCGTTGATGTAATAATGGTCAATTCCACATTTCTAACTCTTTCACTGAGAGAGTCCTTGTTCCGGTTAGGGTTCTTGGGGGCACTGGCCCCTGGGGAGCCCCAGCCAGTGAAGGTGCCCAAGTTATTTGTCCTTCCAAGTCAGCAGATTCAGACTCATTTGTTTTAAGATGCTCTGCTGATGACAGGATCACAAATCTCGTGACTGGCAGATGTGTTCAAACTTGTACCCGTATTTCATGGGCACCATGTTTCCTGAGAGCTGTACCAACTCTGGAAAGGGAGGGTGGTGGAGAGGTTAAGTGCGTGGACTCTGAACTCCACCCGTATTTCATGGGCACCATGTTTCCTGAGAGCTGTACCAACTCTGGAAAGGGAGGGTGGTGGAGAGGTTAAGTGCGTGGACTCTGAACTCCAAGTGCTTGGGCTTAAATCTTGGGTCTATAGCTATTTGAACTCTCTGAGCCATAATTTTCTCATTCTAAAATGGAGTTACAGTGACCTGTCTCCTAGGTTGTGTGGACGACATAATTATGCTGGGCACATGCAAGTCCCCAACAGCATCAGCATCCACTGTTGGCAGCTCTAGTTTAGAAAAAATCGAGAACGGACATGCACACGCACACATGCTAACAAGTATGACACTCATTTCTATGTGTGTGTGTATTGCTACAAACATGGATGCAAAACAAAACGTTCAGGGTGTGGTAGGCGGGGAAAAATGAGTGATTGTATATGTTCTGTTTTCATTAGTGAATGCATTTAAAGCAAAAATGTTTATATATTAGAATGAAAACAATGTCTCATTTCAAACTGGGGAGGATTTTTGTTTATTTACAATCAACTTCTGCTTGGTGGGACAGGAGCTTTCTGAAGCAAGTAGAGATTCCCACGTGGAACCTACGTAAGACCCACCAGATACAAGGAAGCGAAAATTTAATTTTGATCTACTCCTTGAGTCTCAAGAATTTGATCAGACCTCCTTAGGACAAAGTCTCTACATAGAGATCTGGAACTGATCTGGAACTGATCTGGAACTGTTTCTGCATGTGGAAAGCACGGAGGCAAAGGGGAAACTAGCAAATGACCCAGGGCTGTGTGGGCTGATTTCAGTGCCGGGCACTCCTAGCCAGTGTCCCCCATGGCTTCCAATCCTCAACCCCTCCCTTCCCCAACCCGACCTGGGCAGCCCTGCGGGCTCTGCTCTGCACTGGCAGGTGCAGAGACGGGGAGGGCAGTGGTGCAGCGGCCAGTGTGGGGGGCAGGAAGGGGCTGGTGTTTTGTTTTCTCAGGGTTTTTCTGGTCTATTTGCTCTATCAAATGTGGTTGATTCGTGGAAAATGCTTGAAGTCAAACCGGCCCCTACTGGTTGGGGCTGTGCAAGCGGTGGCTGGGGTGCTGCATGATAAATTAAGGGCAGTTAAACCACAGCCAACTTTGCTCACTTCCAAAAGGTCACAGCTGATGAAAGAAAAATCCATCTGCACACACGCATATGATTGCTGCCGAAGATATTCTTATTCGGTGGTGAAGGGTCCCTATTTTATACCAAGTTCATTCCAAGTAGCTACTACCTGAGTTGGGAGCCTTATGACCCGGACTGTTGAGCCACTGTACTTTAGTCCTCTCTGATGACACTGTTCTGAAGGAAGCAGAATGCAGACTTCTTGTAGCCCTAGCCAATCCTGATATTCCACGAAGAATCTGCACTTTTTAATGGCATGTGATTTACTGAAACCCATGTCTTTTAGTCTCATTTCTCGGTGTAGACAGGCTGACACAAGACCTGTGCCCATGAATCTACTAGCACAGGTAGGCTGTAGATGTTCAACAGAGAGGTGCTTCTTTCATCACAAGAACACAGACATATGCAGGTGCTGAATCAAGTGTGTAATTGAATGCTGACTCATCCAAGTCCCTCTACAGGACAAATGACTGTAGAGTCAAGCTTAATTCGAGCAAGCTTAATAGAAGACAGGCACATCAGCTAGGTGGGATGGGGGTCCAGCAGAGGAAGGCTGTTCAGCAATGTGAACACAAAGAGCAAGTGTCCCCACCCTTGCTCCACTAGAACATGGTACAGAGAGGGTACCCAGTCCTGAGACCCAACCTGACCAGTCCCTGGGGAAACAAAACTCTATTGTGGACGTCAGTGCTTTAGGCTTTCAAGGTTTGACTTCACAGAACATCTCACCATAGATTTCATTCCTCTTCTTCTGTGCTTGGGCGCTAACCTCTGGGTGAGCCTTGGCTTCCATGAACATGGGCCACATACTACTGGTTCAGCCTAGCCTGTGCGGGACTGAGCTCTGTCTCAGGATAAATTATACACTGACATGCAGCATAGGCATCTGTTGGCCTGTTATATATGAGACTCCACTCCTGAGACAGGAAAATCTAAATGTGACTATACCACTGAGTTGTTTAGATTGAGTCCAAATTCTAGAATCTGCAGACCCTCCTCCCCTTTTCTCCACCATAAAAAGCTCTTTCTGGTTAGGCCTCAGGGTTCCACACCCTTTCTGGTGGCACTTCCGTCATTTGGTTCATTCTCAGAACAAACACAGATGGAGTTGATCTGACCTGCACAATGCACATTTGACCCTGTCATTACATTCCATAGTTATTTCCTCAGGAAACATCTCTGACACAAGAATACTTGTTTTCCATTACGTACATTTTCCCTCTAAATATTAGAAAAAACTTTAAACGTCTGAGAGCAGAAAAATATGTTAAATAATTATTTTATTTCCGTGAAATATTCTATATCCACTTAAAATTATATTTATATCATTTATACATCACAGAAAATTATTCACTTAGGAAGGAAAATCAAATATGCAATAAAAAATGATATATTGCATAGGAATATATTTATAAAAATAAAAACATAAATACGTCCATGCAAATCAGAAAGACAAGAAGAAAATAACCAAATGGCTTCAAGCATGTCTGCATATTCCAAAGTTTCTGCAGTAAAGTGACTGTATTTTTAAATTATCATTTTTAAAACAACGTATACATATATTGGCAGTATGGCCACCATAATGGGAAATTACAAACAAAAAATGAGCAGGGGAAAAAAATGAAACTGTCAACATGGGTGTAGCTGAATATTTCGAAGGGCAGTCTGTGATTGTTCTACAAACACTTTTACAGAAAGTATGTATTAGTCTCAAAGTCAGGGAAGATAAAAAAAAAAAAAGTTGTCATGAGAAACCAAGGTACAGGTTAGGGATAGATCCTCCTCATGCACAAAGGAAGCAGCCTGCCTCACAGCTGCTTTCCTCTTGTCAGATAAGACACCTCAAAAAACACATTTTTTTTTTCCTTCTGAGAGTGTCTGCCTGCTTTAGAGCCAAGAACAAATCTGGCACAGGAGAATGAACAGAATCTAAAGAAAAGATTGCGTCCCACATCTTAACCTCATACATGTCACACAGTTCAGGTGACATTTGTGGTGACATAAATAGATAAAGGTATGGCTGTTGGAAGCCTTCACTTTCCAGCCTCTTGAATGGCTGTAGACACACAGGGGCAGATGAAATGCCTTCCCACTTGGACACGAACCCGGGGAAGATGGTCATGACACGTCCTCCTGTTTGTGCGTTACTCTCCACCTGTCAGCTTAATGGCACTTGAGCCCCAATTCTGATGTCTTGGAATTACTTGAGAGTCCTAAATAAAGCCAAACATTTAATTAAAATGCATGCTTTGCATAACCGAAAAGTGAATGTGAGCCAGGTCTTTTGGCTACGGCCAACAAATCATCTCCTTGGACACCAACTGCAAACTGGACTAGGTCAACAAAGACCATTTCTGTGGTTGGAAAATGTCCAAATTCATGTAACAATCTGAGACGTTTTTATGCTGAAAAGCTGCAGATCAGGGAACAACAGTGGCGCACTGGTCTAGAGGGACTCCCATTCCTCTCCCCGCCTGCCAACACCCGGTTCCATGGGCATGAAGGTTCTTCCAAGATGGGATAGGCCATGAGGACTGGCAGCAAATCCCACAGTGTAAGGGAACTCAGATAATTTGGGATGGGGAGTGATGTGAGGATGAATCGAGAGACTCAGTGGTGTGCAGGCAGGAAGGCAGGGGCTGTGCTGGCCTGAGGTTGAGGTCATGGCTGCAGCAAGCGTGTGCTTGGCTGAAGCTGTGTGCCTGCTTAGCAGAGACCCAAAAGAGTGCAAGCCAGCCACAGACTCTGTGTGACCCTGAGGTGATGGGCATATGCAGAGGAGCTGTGAAAATACTCAACAAAAATTTTAAGCCGGGAAGACTTATACTTTTGCACATAAAGTCTATGTGCTAATTGCCTAAAATATGAATATGCTACCCAATCTATACAAAATAACCATTTGGTAAGGGTCACAGTCTTAAGGTGCTTGAACACAATCCCTAGTTAATCTTGGCTACGACTAAGCTATGTAGACAAAGGTGTGATCTCTAGGAAGCTAGGCTACAAAATAAAAGAAAAGAAAACAAGAGAGTCATGAGCAATCATATACGGCAGGGGATATAATATCACATATTTAGTCCAAGCAACTCACTGAGCCTACAAAACAAACTTTTGTGGAAAAAGGAGTTCATGCAATATATTTTCAGCAGCATAGTTTTCAATAAAAAAATACGAAGACAGGCAAAGAATCAGAAAAGTGTGACTATTCTTAGGAGGAAAAGCCCCCACAACTCAACACACACTGTCCTTGAGTGTGTCCAGATATTTTCTTTAACAAAGACTTCAAAGCAGCTATTACAAATTGTGTTCAAGAAAAAAAAAAACCCTCTAGAAATCCATGCTTAAAGAAATAAAGGACAATATGACAACAAAAAGTCAACAAAGTTATTCTAATGATAGATACCCAAATTACAGAACAGAACAGGTGTTTAAAATAAATAAAATCTATAATCGAAACTTTTTATACCTGAAGTGAAATACTTGCTAGAGAGCTTTAAATTGAGAGAGCAGAAGAAACCATCTCAGTGTGAGGGAACTTGTTCCACCTAATAAAGGGCATCTCTGAAAACCCATATGTAATCATATGTAATGTTGACAGACTGAATGCTTTCCCCCCAAGACCAGGAACAAGACAAAGATGTCTGCTCTTGTCACTTCTAGTCCACATGGTATTGAAGTTTCTAGACAGTGCAACTCAGTCAAGTAAAGATCTCTATCAGATTGAAAAGGAAATACAAAAATGTATCCACAGATGACATGATCCTGTAGGCGAGTATTCCCATGGAACCTACACGCACACAAAACCAAAACTACACTTCGTAAACAAGGTTAGCATCATCACAAGGTACACACTCAAAGTACAGAATATCAGTTGTATTTCTATGTACTAACAGGCAAAATTGAAACTGAAACTGACGAAAGAATTCCTTTTGCAATAGAACCAAAAATAATAACACATTTAGGAATCAATTTCACAAAAGACGAGCAAATCTTTTTTGTTGATAAATATAAAAGAAGGTAGAGAAGAAATTAAAAATATCAGAAGGAGCAGCACAGAGGAGCAGTGAGCCTAGTTGACAGACGGATGGACAGACACGGATTGATGGGAATGGGATGCCGTTTATATAAATGTAAAGATGTGTTATTCAGAGCAAATCTCAGGGCGTCGGGTGGCTCAGTTGGTTAAGTGTCTCACTCTTGATTTCGGTTCAGGTCATGATCTCACAGTGGGTGAGACTGAGCCCCATGTAGGGTTCTGCACTGACAGCACAGAACCTGTTGCGGGTTCTCTCTCTGCTCCTCCTCTGCTCGTGCTCACTCTCTCCCTCCCTCTAGCAAAATAAATTAAAACTTAAAAAAAAGAAACAACCACATTTCTATAGTTTTCACAGGTACACAAGACACTAAACATATCAGTCAATCCTCTCATTGAGGCTGAAAAAACAAAACAAAACAAAGAAACAAAACGGCTTCCAAGAAGGACCCATTTACCTACAACTCCCAAACACAGTGAGTACACAACTGGAAAAACAAGTTTCCTGCCAAGTATTTCTGGACTCTTCCACTGACCAGGCTGGGTCTTTCCTGTAACAGACTTCACTTCTCTGGGCTCCAGCAAGAATTATAAGGTGTATGACATACCTGTAATGGCCAGGAGGGGGCGCGAGAAGTCAGAGTAAGTACCAAGCAAACTACCTTAGTTTTTAAGCACAATATTGAAAACAAATGGTTAAGTATAACAACACCACGTTTTGCATTCAAAGCAACAGCTCAATGAGGACAGAAATTAATCCCTGAATCACAAACATCCAAGCAGGTTACCTGGGGCACGTACTTCCTTAACCTGAAGGTCTTGAAGTTAGTTCTTGCTGTGCTCTTAGCTAGACAATCTCAAGTACGTTACTTACCCTCCCTAAGCCTCTGTCTCATCTGCAGAATGGGATGAAGAACCCCTACTTTATGCAAGGAAGGAATCAAGATGTACAATGCTTGACATTGAATAAAGTATTTGCTGGATTAATGATTTTTCTGTTATGGCCTTTAAAAAATAGTCTCTCATGGGGCTCCTGGGTGGCTCAGTCAGTTAAGCATCCAACTTCGGCTCAGGTCACTATCTTGCGGTTTGTGGGTTCGAGCCCCACGTCAGGCTCTGTGCTGACAGCTCAGAACCAGGAAGCTGCTACAGATTCTGTGTCTCCCTCTCTCTGTTCCCTTCCCCGCTCACACTCTCTCTCTCTCAAAAATTAATAAACATAAAAATAGTCTCTCACAAAAGGTAAGCAACTATTAATTCACAAGTGATAGAAGAATTTCTACTACATTTGACGTCCCGCACTAATAACGACTCTTCAAGAATAGCTTATGTTCTTTGCTTATTGGCACGTGAGAGATAGTCTTGAGTTCTGCTATCATTCTGAAATTTCCTCCTGGCTCCTTACTCTTTAGAGCTTCAAAGTAACTCTATATATATGTTGAATTCTACGTGTAGAAAATGGATGGTGTGATGGGTTTTGGAATTTCATAGACTTGGGTTTGAATCAAGGCTCCATTATTTATGTGATTCTGAGCAGCTGAAACATTTTTTTTTAATTTTTTTTTCAACGTTTTTATTTATTTTTGGGACAGAGAGAGACAGAGCATGAACGGGGGAGGGGCAGAGAGAGAGGGAGACACACTCTACGCGTCCCTTTTTTTTAACGTTTCATGATGAAAAGTGGTTAAGCACACAAAGCTGTTTTTGTTTGATATTTTGAGTTTTGTGACTGAGTTTAAATGAAATCTGTTAAATGTGTTAGAGTTAACATTCTTCTTTTGGTAATTCTGTTTGGAATAAAGTTGTTTGTTTTTTTTAAGTCCAAAAAAAAAAGATCGTGACCTGGCTGAAGTCGGACGCTTAACCGACTGTGCCACCCAGGCGCCCCAAACATTTTAAGATTCCAGTTAGTTGATCTGTCAAATGTGGTTGGTATAACTACTTTGACATGTTATTATGAGGAACAAGTGGGTATAAGGACCACATTGTACTTAAAACTGACTGATCTCATTTATTTACAAAGCAACCAACTTGGCCAAATCCCAGACCCAGGCTAGATGAAGTCTCCAGAGTAGGAATTGTTATTCCCATTTACAGTGACTTTCCGAAGGACACACATCCTCCAAGTGGCAGGGCTTGGACTGGAGCTGTCATTCTGTCCTTGTCAATGTAATAAATCTTCACAGACTCAGGAGGTGTCATTCAGAGATTTCAAATGTCCCTGTTGGGCAGCTCCATGTTGAGAAGGACCTCTCCCCTCAGCCACCATGTGTCAGATCACAGCGTCGGCTTCCCAGAGAGCTGGGGCCCCTGGCTGGACCCCACGACTGGACCGCTCACCAGACAAGCGGGTCTGGAAGGCTGGCCACACGTGGAGGCATCTGAACGGGCAGGTCCCTGCAGACCGCGTGCACCTGGCAGCCACGGAGCCCGTGGGAAAGGCAGGCAGGATGTGGAGCTTTGGCTGAGGTTTCCGGGCTGCCCTCAACTCTTCTGGAAAGTGCCCTGGCCCAGCCCCGCCCCGGCACCAGCAGGGGATGGGGCTGCTTTCTGGGAAGCTGCGGGCGGCCCCGAGCAGCACAGGGCCCGGGAGAGTGAACTGGGCCCTAGTGAGGCTTCCTCTCTCCCCCACTGTCAACCCCTGTTTTAGTCCAGTGTGTTCAGTAGTCATTTGCATAGTCACATTCCCATCCATGTCCCAGCCCAGAAACCCCTGGGTAGCTCAGTTGGTTGAGTGTCTGTCTTCGGGCTCAGGTCATGATCTCACAGTTTGTGCGTTTGAGTCCCACATCAGGCTCTCTGCTGTCTGCGCAGAGCCCAATTAAGATCTTTTGTCGCCCCCCCCCCCCCGCCCCTCCCCTGCTCATACTTTTTTTCTTAAATACAATGAATACACATTAAAAAAAAATTGTATATTTGCATTTTCCCCTTGCACTGACCTCTTGGTTGGTGACACTGTCAACATGAATTTTAAAATATAAATATAAATAAATTATAATCACCACTAATAATGCTAGGCCCAGAGGATATAATTTTTTTTAATGTTGATTTATTTTTGAGAGAGAGAGAGAGAGAAAGAGAGAGAGCACGAGCAGGGGAGGGGCAGACACAGAATCCGAAGCAGGCTCCAGGCTCTGAGCTGTCAGCACAGAACCCAACGTGGGACTTGAACTCACGAGGCGTGAGATCATGACTTGAGCTGAAGTCAGACGCTTAACCAACTCAGCCACCCAGACGCCCCTAGGTCCAGAGGATATAAACGAAGATCTTTTTTCATTCTCACCCTCTCCCCACTCCCCCCTGCCAGGACACGTTGCGCTCCACAAATAAACGCTCGTGTCAATACTGTGCTCTTTTCTGTGCCGTAGTTTTATAGTTTCTTTAACATTCGTGGGGAGATTTCTCTTGTTAGTTTTTTTGTTTAAGAATTCTCTTTCCATTCTAGTGTGACGGCAGTTTTATATTTTCTTAAGTGTCAACCATGACACGTCTGTCCCAGCAAGGATTTTCTGGGACCATGACACTCATGCTTGTCTGGGACAGTCTGCTCTCGGAGCTGCTCCTGTGACAGCCTCGCATCCCCTGCACGTGGTCCCCGAGCAGAGGATGGTCAGCCAGAGTCCTTGCCCTTCTTCCCTTCCGAGCTTCTGTGATGACACCTGTTATTGTACTCTTTTACAGAGTAGCAATTCTAGCATATACGGGGCGACATCTCATTTAATCGAGCGATCAGTGCGGTGCTCAGGTGTAGTCCATTTCCAGTGAAGGGATTACTATTATTGCTGGTGCTCTTGCTCCACCATTTCTCAGCACCTGACCATTGATGGTTCCTCTCCCCCTTGTGGTCAGATCTGACTCTGCCCTCAGGTCCCTCCCACTTTCCCACCTCTCTCTCCCCAGTACCTGCAGGCACCTAAGGGACACAGAGCTCAGACCCTAACCTGCCCTCTGCCACCCACCCAGTCTCCTTCCAGCAGGTGCAGCCGGGAAGTCACCCTGGGCTTCTCTCCACAGGTGGGAAGCAGAACCATGCTGGGTCCCCTCGCCTTCCTGTGCGCCCTCCTGTTTCCCGGTAAGTCCTGATTCCCTCCCCGGTGCGGGTGCGTGGGACGCCCTGAGGTTCCCAGCCTTCCTGTCTCACCTCTGTCCCCCTCGCAGGCAGCTGGGCAGCGATCAGCCTGGGGCAGCCCTCTATGGTCGTGGCGCAGGCAGGCCGCTCAGCCACTCTGTGGTGCAAAGCCAGCACCAAGGTCAGCTACATCCACTGGTACCACCACCAGGAAGGTGCGGCCCCCAAGAGGCTCCTCAGACTGGACATGTCTGGAACGTTTGTGCAGAGAGATGGGGGCCTGAAAGCGGACAAAGTCAATGCCAAGAGGGGCAAGGGTAGCAACAGCTGTGACCTGTCCGTGCTGAAGCTGGAGAAGAGCGACGAGGGCGTGTACTACTGTGCTGCCTGGGAAGCTCACAGCTGCATGTGCTGCTCCGCTCCCTGAGCAAAAAGGTTTCTGATTCCTCGGTCCCTGCCTGCCTGGCACCTTCCACTTGCTCTGGATCCCTGGGGTTGCCCTGAGTCAGCCCTCAGCACCCCTGGCTGTTATGGACAGGCCATTTAAGATTCTGACCACACCCCCTGAAGAATGTGGGAATAAAATATCGTGCAAATAATTTCAAGGCCGAGAGACTCTCTGGGGATTCCGCACAAAATGGGTGCAAGCCGAGACTGGAAGGCAGCTCCTGACTCCAGTTTCTAAGTTGCCGCCCCGCCCACCGCTGGTTCCTGTGCAGAGAGAGAGACTCCTTGATCAGAAGCCCAAGAAACAGTGTGGCTAACTTCGCAGCACCCTCGCCCAAGCCTGGCGCTCACTCTCCTGCGGGGGAAATGATCCTCAGGGCAGGTGCACGCATCGGCCCTGGACGAGACCCCGGGCCCTCCGCCTTCCCCGTCTCCTTGAAAGTGACTCCATATGGGATTTGGGGACCAGCTTCCCTGGACCTCTGTTCTCTCCTCTGTAAAGTGAGGAGGTTTAACTGCTACAATGTGTGACTGATTTTTGTATTAAAGAAAAATTATACCAAAAATATATCACTATGTTCACTAACTTCTTATAAAATTAGTCAACTTCTTGACAAGAAGAGGAAGGAAGAGGAGGAAGAGGAGAAGAAGAAGAAGAAAAAGAAAGTAAGAAAGAAAAGAAAAAAGAAAAGAAAAACTATGTTACTGATTCCCCCACCCCAAACAGGAAAGCCCCTGCTGCTGTGGGGGGGGGGGGGGGAGAAAAAGCTCTCTGAGGAGGTCTAAGCTGAATTAAATACATTTTTAGTTGAAAATTCAAACTTTATGAAATTTCAGTTAAAATTTCAAATTTTTTTGGTAAAAATGATTACTGAAAGTCTAATGATCCTCAGTTTCACTAACTCCTCCTCTATCTCGCTGAGCTTCTGTTTTGTGGATGGAGATTTGTATTTAGGACGCGCCTGCCCATGAAAGAGTCCAACCAACAGTTAGTGCAACATGTCATCAATGAACAGAAACCAGGAATGAGATGGTCTCCAGTAGAATTTCCCACAGCGTTGTGCACAATTTCCTTCAGCAAGATTGTTTGGCCCTTTTATTGCCTGAAAACATGACCCACTTCATTTCATGAAAGATTGCTAGAAAATCAGCCCCATGTGTTCTTTACCTGGAAACTGAGAAAAAGATAGACTTTCAATAGGACTCTGTGTGTCCCCTTCTTTGGGGGCACAGATTTCTCTTCCAGTCAAAAATCAAGCACGGATGATGGGCCGTAAAGTGTGGATTCTGCCAAAAATTCTGTTTTAGCCCCAGGATCCATGCTTCATGTTCTCTCCACCCCGCCTTGTGCACCAGGAGACTAACCCCTATGGGTCACACTAATGGGCATCTTTGCTTGATCCATTGAATGCTGGCCAATGGAAGTTGAAGTTCAAAGAACCATCACCATGTCCCCTGACAAAAGCATTCCTTCTTGGGGACCAGATTTCCAAGCCTGTGGATCCAGAGACCAGGGAGAAAAGAAAGAAATTCCTCCAGTGGGTTAATTGGTATAAAAGGAAATGGCCACTCTCACCTACACCTCTTGGGTCCCGAGCACAAATTCTCTCTCTGGGGTAGATGGCCCTATATGTTGGGCCCAGGGGAAGTTGCAGCCAACCCAAGGCCACCTGTCATGGAGGGAACCCTGAGCTCACTCTGCTCCCATTTCCCAGCCTCCTCCTGATGTTTCCATTGACTGCTTCCAACAGTAACCAAAGGATAAGGAACACCATCCATGCGGTCCATGAGGGTCCAGCCTGGGGCAAGGTAAAGAGAGGTAGACCATCCATCTGGAGGAGCAAAAGAATGAAATTCAAGCAGACAAATAAGTGGGTTATGTTTGCCCCTAAGTAAGTAAAAAATTTAGGGATTCGGGAGAAGATTTTATCTAGTTCCTTTTCATTTCACCTTCCACAAAACCACCAAGGTGCCATGTCTAACAGAACAGAATGTACCCTGTTCCTTCAGTAACGAAACAGGAAACTGGGCAGGTGTTGACAGATTATCATTTAATTCTGTGCTTTTCTAGTTGATAAATTTAGCAGAAAGAAGCATGTACATTATTTGTAATGCTTTTGACCTTCAGAAAAAGCAGGGTTTCTTGGGTCTTTGCCAACTTATTAAATCATCAACACCTAAGTAGAATAAAATGAATAAAGTAAATAGATCTCTGTGTAGATAAATGATTATAGTGCTTTATGAACCAATATTATAATGAATACAACTCTGTGTTCTTGATGTTTTTAATACAATAAACAAGTGCACAGTAGTGACACAATCTTAATTCTTATTAAACGAAACTAGATAAACATCTGCCACTTTCATAATGTCAACTACAATCCAGTCTCTTGCCTTTGTTATAATGGACCTATTTTTTCTGTCCTTCCTTATCTGCTTTCCTGCTATCTATGAGTCAACATTTAACTGTATCAATCACAAGCTGATCATTCCTAGCTGCAGTAATTCTGTAACCTTTATTTTCTTAACTTCTAAATTGAAGTTACAAAGTAATTACCAAACATCTACAGTTACATTCTGAAAGTGGTAGAATTAGCATTTGCAGTCTGTGGGTCAGCAGATTGCTCTGATGGATTTTCTTGCTCAGCCAAAAAACAAAACAAAACCAGAATTAATTAGTTTATAACTACAGAATACAACGCACAGTCATTCTCTCAAGGAGCTCAGTTCCATAATAAAGAGAACGTTCTGATTAGAATATAATAATAGCTATTTTTTAATGAGAATTCCTGGTGCAATAGGCACTTACGAAGCACTTCATGCATTTCTTGTTATGTTACGCCTCTGTATGGGTGGAAAGGGAGTGTGATGGCTATCAATCGTACCCCACCCCCAGATGTTACTCTAACCATGTCCTGAAATGGCTGGTTTGACTTATTTAAGTATTAGAATGAATGAAATGGAATTCATGTCCATTTAGCTCCATGGCTACCAGATAATGAGCTAGATGTTGTGTGTGTCCAGAAACTCATGTGATCATCATGAAAGTCCTGCAAATAAACCTATGTCATGGAAGAAAGGATTGATGTTTGGAAAGAAACAGAAATGTTTCCAAACAAATAGTCCATGGTGTTTCTTTTTTTAATTTTTTTTTAACGTTTATTGATTTTTGAGACAGAGAGAGACAGAGCATGAACGGGGGAGGGGCAGAGAGAGAGGGAGACACAGAATCTGCAACAGGCTCCAGGCTCTGAGCGGTCAGCACAGAGCCCGGCGCGGGGCTCGACTCACGGACCGCGAGATCGTGACCTGAGCCGAAGTCAGACGCTCAACCGACTGAGCCACCCAGGCGCCCCTGTCCATGGTGTTTCAATTGCACTGTTAGGTCACTTTAAATATTCTTGGTGAAGGTTAACTTTACAAGAATACACTCTGGCACTTGTGGGCAAATATGGGTTGTCCCACACCTGCTCCCCAGGCCAGTATACTGGTCAAGACAGTATGAGGGTCACACAAGAAGCCATGGCCAACGGGTCACAGTGGAAGAGTTCCTTTCTGGGCAGTCTGCTCCAGGACTCTTCCTGCAAGTGGAGAGGAAAGACTAAGAAAATCTTCTCTGTTTTGTGAACTGGTTTTAACAGAAAGTGTCATAGGTCAACTACATGGAGAATGCTCAAAATCCCGCAGCCAGACTTCAGTAAACAAACAAAATATGCAATGAGAGTGATGCTTTGGAAATTTGTCTCTGGCACAGTTTTTTCCCCTAATACATCATGTCACCTGGAGTCCTTCTTCTGTTCAGGCTAAACCATGACATATAGCACCTGTAGAAGGAGATAGTGGCTTTGGCCAGCATAAGCTCCCGTTTTGAGTGAATCATGAGATAGTTAAGCTTAAAAGTCAGATTTACTTGATAAAGAAAGTGATTGTCTAAATTCCCAAATCTCCCATTTATAGATTGGTGGGTAAGCCTGGTAAACTAGGAACACAGGATTTTACCAGAGGTGCTAGATGGAGATAAGGGGAGATGTGGTGTCATCAAGGTTAGCGTGTATGCTGAGAGAAAGGGCTAGTTCTGATGGCCGGGATGTGGTATTCAATGGTGAGGAGAGAGTAAGTGAAAGTTCCTTTTGGTTCCCTTGTCTCTGAGGGTCTTATCCCAGAGAGGATAGAAACTTCTTCAAGAAGAAGACCAAAGCAGGAGGCATCACAATCCCAGACTTTAGCTTCTACTACAAAGCTGTCATCATCAAGACTGCATGGTATTGGCACAAAAACAGACACATAGACCAATGGAATAGAATAGAAACCCCAGAACTAGACCCACAAACGTATGGCCAACTCATCTTTGACAAAGCAGGAAAGAACATCCAATGGAAAAAAGACAGTCTCTTTAACAAATGGTGCTGGGAGAACTGGACAGCAACATGCAGAAGGTTGAAACTAGACCACTTTCTCACACCATTCACAAAAATAAACTCAAAATGGATCAAGGACCTGAATGTGAGACAGGAAACCATCAAAACCTTAGAGGAGAAAGCAGGAAAAGACCTCTCTGACCTCAGCCGTAGCAATCTCTTACTCGACACATCCCCAAAGGCAAGGGAATTAAAAGCAAAAGTGAATTACTGGGACCTTATGAAGATAAAAAGCTTCTGCACAGCAAAGGAAACAACCAACAAAACGAAAAGGCAACCAACGGAATGGGAAAAGATATTTGCAAATGACATATCGGACAAAGGGCTAGTATCCAAAATCTATAAAGAGCTCACCAAACTCCACACCCGAAAAGCAAATAACCCAGTGAAGAAATGGGCAGAAAACATGAATAGACACTTCTCTAAAGAAGACATCCGGATGGCCAACAGGCACATGAAAAGATGTTCAGCGTCGCTCCTTATCAGGGAAATACAAATCAAAACCACACTCAGGTATCACCTCACGCCAGTCAGAGTGGCCAAAATGAACAAATCAGGAGACTATAGATGCTGGAGAGGATGTGGAGAAACGGGAACCCTCTTGCACTGTTGGTGGGAATGCAAATTGGTGCAGCCGCTCTGGAAAGCAGTGTGGAGGTTCCTCAGAAAATTAAAAATAGACCTACCCTATGACCCAGCAATAGCACTGCTAGGAATTTATCCAAGGGACACAGGAGTACTGATGCATAGGGGCACTTGTACCCCAATGTTCATAGCAGCACTCTCAACAATAGCCAAATTATGGAAAGAGCCTAAATGTCCATCAACTGATGAATGGATAAAGAAATTGTGGTTTATATACACTATGGAATACTACGTGGCAATGAGAAAAAATGAAATATGGCCTTTTGTAGCAACGTGGATGGAACTGGAGAGTGTGATGCTAAGTGAAATAAGCCATACAGAGAAAGACAGATACCATATGGTTTCACTCTTATGTGGATCCTGAGAAACTTAACAGGAACCCATGGGGGAGGGGAAGGAAAAAAAAAAAAAGAGGTTAGAGTGGGAGAGAGCCAAAGCATAAGAGACTGTTGAGAACTGAGAGCAAACTGAGGGTTGATGGGGGGTGGGAGGGAGGAGAGGGTGGGTGATGGGTATTGAGGAGGGCACCTTTTGGGATGAGCACTGGGTGTT